AGAGATGGACAGGTTACGGATTGAAGAGGGTAAATGAATATAAGGTATACAAGTCAGGCAGGCTCGCAATGTGTGAGATGTTGTGTGTTGGTGAAGCAGAGCGTAGAACTACATTTCGTTATTCAGGAAGCAGTCAAAGAGGATAATAGGGCAGGGCACTGAGAGCACGCTCTCCGGATGAAGAAGAAATAAAGACAGAGCGTGATGAGGGGAGGACAGAGTCGAGAGTAGACTTTTAGGGTAAGAAGTGCGACAGTTAACGTGGCTCACGAGGTAATGGAGACAGAGCGTTCAGTCTTCCGAGCAATGGTCGGCCACGTCACAGAAGTCCAGCAAGCTGTCGAAGTGAGGGAAACGCGGCTTTGAATCGACCGAGCCTAGACCGCTAACATCCCGTTAACCTGTAGTCCCAGATTATTTGGCTCATGGGATTAGGCTAAATTAGGGCAGGGCGCTGAGAGTTGGCCGTCCGGTTGAAGAATGATTGAACGATGGCCAGTAATGTCACAGGAGTCTGAGACTGGATTAGTCGGCGCATTGTGATTGAGGCTGTAGTTCATTTGGGGAGGCAGTTGGAGTGAGTCGCGAGGTGGACAGTAAAAGATGGATGTGGCTGCAGTAAAAGAGGGTGAACAAGCGCAGCAGGCTGTCGCGGTGAGGGAGGCATTGCGTTGAGTCTACAGAGCCTGGAACTTTAACATCCCGGTAGTATGGAAGAAGTCGAAGGGAAGCAGACTGGTCAGCTGAGACTAGGTTATTGCAGGGCACTGAGAGTTGGTAGTCCGATTGAAGAAGGATTGGAAACAGAAGACGCACCAGCAAATGACAGGATCAGGATGGAAAAAGTTTTCTGCTGGGATTTGGAGAAGCCAACGATGCTCGCGTCTTAAGAGCAAAAAGAGCGATTAGGAGAGGAAAAAGGTTGGGATAGGAAGTACTTTACTGATAAGGTGTGGGAATGACATTGAGGCACTCGTGTAAAGGGGTATAGAGTGCTCGGTGTTCCGAGTATTGGCCATTGAATTCACGGTGGTCGTAGAGCAGGACGCCGATCAGATAGGACTAGGTTAGTCAGCGCGTTGAGGTTGAAGCGTATAGTTAAGGTGAGAAGACAAATAGGGAGGGGCAGCAGAAATGGACAGGAATAAACTGCATAAGTGTAAGCGATTCCAGCAGACTGTCAAGGTGTAGTAGACTTAACATTGACTGCAGGTCCCAGACCATTTGCAACTCCGTAGTCATGGATGCAGTCAGACTGGTCAAATGAGACTAGGTCATGCAGGGCACTGAGTTTGCCATCCGATTGCAAGAGAAATGAAAGGAAAGAGCGCGATAAGGAGCGGACGGTTTCGGAAGGAAGGGAGCTTTATTAGTGCTGGTTGAAGAATTTGTGTGTCTATATGTGATCGGGGCCGTTCTCCCAGAGCTCGTCCTCGGGGATGCAGATGCCCAGGATCTCTGCTACCTTGGGGACGCTTAATAGTCTATTTATGACCGTGGAGAATTGCGTGATACTATCAGATGCTCTGACGGCTTCCGGTAGCTTATTCCAGACATGCGCATATCTATAGAGGAAGAAGTTAGAACGTATGGAGCAACGTGTGTTGGGTAGGGAAAATGAGTGTGCCTTATGGCGTAGAGGATAACGTGTATCGCCAGGCGGCTGAAAAAACTAGCGACACTTGAGTCCGATATTTTGATTAGCTTATATAGGAAAACAAGGTTGGTTTTAAGTCGTCGCAGCCAAAGCGGTTCCAGACCAAGCTGCTTGCAGCGGCCTTGATAGTTGAGCGCAGATGCTCCTAATAGACGTTTAGTGAACGAACGCTGGACTTTCTCAATAACCATCCTGTCACTTTTACGTGAGTTAGTAACAACGATTGAGCAGTACTCTACTATAGGCCTGGCACACAACTTATAGAGCATGAGTCGAGACTCTAACAAGCACATTGACTTCAGTATATAGCCAATGATAGACCTGGCTTTGGCAGAGCTATAGCTCGCTTGTTCCGCAAAATTCAATGAGCAGGAATAGTGTACACCGAGATCGCGCACAGTGAAGCTGTTATCAAGTGGTGTACCGTTAAGAGTTAATAGTTTGGGGGTATGGAGCATCGGTAGGAAAGGACGTTGCATTTCGTTGGTGAAAACTCTAGTTTCCATAGATCGCACCATGTTTCAAGAGCACTGAGATCGCTTTGAATGCTAGAGAGACTATTACGTAGACAGCTAGGGTCAAATGAGAAAATAACTTTTATGTCATCGGCAAAAAGGTACGGCGTGCCGTGTTTGAAGACCTGGAATACATCATTAATGTACAGCAAAAACAGCAGAGGACCCAGGACGCTGCCTTGGAATACTCCGCTGGTTACGGATGCCTTTTTGGATGAGATGTCGCCCAGTTGCACTGACTGCGTTCGGTTGGAAAGGTAGGAAGAAAACCATGAAAGGAGATGGCTGGAGACACCGTATGCTGCTAGTTTAGTCATTAAACCATTGTGTGGGACCCGATCAAACGCTTTTTTCATGTCCAGGAAGATAATAACCAGTGCCTGACCTAGGTCGATGGAGTGTGTCACGTGGTTTAAGAATTCAAACTGGCAGGTTTGACAGGATTTAGTCGGCAGGAACCCGTGTTGGGACCTATTGATAAGGTTGCGTGGCAACAGAAAGCAAAGCATCGCGTCCTTTATTATTCTTTCCATGAGTCGAGACGCAATAGCTGTGTGACTAATGGGACGATAATTGTCAATATTTAGGCGACAGCCTCGTTTGTGTCGTGGTATGACGGTTGCGTGCTTCCAATTGGACGGGTAGTGACCACTCTTCATTGAGAGGGTGAAGACATTGAGGAGAAGGACTGGAATGTCCGGACCTCCGAGTTTTAAAATGGAAGAAGGCATACCGTCGGGACCTGGGTAGTGTGACAGTTTCAACGAGCAAAGTGCTCGCTTGATAGTGCATAAGTCAAAGTCAATAGTATGAATTTGATCTTCAGTGAACTTGGGAATCGTATTTGGCAGTGCCAAGTCATTGCTAGTGAAGGAGTTACAGAAATGTGTGTTAATGAACTCGCAGAGATCAACCGCACCAGTGATTATACTTTTATCAGGAAGCACTAAGGTAGTAATCGGGATATCTTTTCTGCCACCCCGCTGCTTCAGTAGTCGAATGAGAGACTTTGCTTTGTTTTCAGTACAAAGCGCTGCATGCTCTACTAATGTACGCGCAGTACTTTGTGAATTTCTCCAGTCGGCTAGCAATTCGTTCATACGGATGATTAGGTGAAAGCTTTTGGTCTTGATGTAGCGGGAGCGCATTTTCTTGAGCCTGCTGGTCAGTTTGCGTGTGGAGGTGTCATCAAGATTTTGACGCTTTTTGATTTTCTTCTGTTTTGGAGTAAGGACATCTAAGCAGTTGGTGAAATTGTTGTAAAGCACGTTGGTCGCAGTATCTATGTTGTCGGAGAGGAAGAAGTCGTCCCAGGGTGATGATCGGAGGAGGGAGGAGAAGATGTCCCAGTTAATGCGCTGGAGGGGCCGAAATATCTCATATTTCGTGACTGCATGTTGACGGGATTTAGGGAGCGCGAAGGACAGCTTCACCACCTTGTGATCGCTGCCCGGTATGTTGTCTAACACGCCGGCGCATGCGTGCGAGATACCGTTAGTGAATATAAGGTCCAGTGTGTTCGATTGTCTAGTCGGTACATTCACATGCTGTGTCCATTCATGAGTGGAAATAGTGTCAACAAGGGCCCTGTACTTGGGTGGGGCCGACTGTCCGAGCCACGAAACATGAGGCATATTGAAGTCTCCAGCAATGATCTTATAGCGTGAAGGGAGAAATGAGACTTCCTGAAAGAGTCTGACCAATTTGTTAACGCTAGCACAAGAGGAGTGCGGTGGATTGTATAAACAGCCTATCAAGAGGTCCGGATGACCTCCAACGGCCTGAATCCAGACTGAGTCTTCAGAGTTGCCAAGAGATATAGTGTGGAAAGATGATGCGTAAAACTCGTTCTTGACGTATATGAGGCATCCGCCACCACGTTTACTGGCACGTCCATTACAGAAAGTGGTGTACCCTGGAATGTGGAGCGGTGCGTCAGAAGCGTCGGCCGAGTGCCATGTTTCTGTTATCAACACCATATGCGGGCTTGACAGAAGGATGAAGGGGCCTAGAAGGTGCATTTTATTTTTAATTGATCGTACATTGAGGAGGAGGAGAGTGTACGAGTCGTATTCGCATCGTCCCGTCATTGGGTCGTCAGATTCTGTAGTAGGGTCGTAACAAGACAGTGGTGGAGGCGTTTCCGATGCACTGTAATCTACAGTTCCCGGGTTGCATACATCAGGCGATGTGGCAGCAAGTACTGGTGCTACTGGTATGGGGACAACTCCTACAGGTGTAGGAGTCAGCAGATGTCGGCGAGGGAGGGTGTGTGTGCTTGAAGAATGTGACGTAGCGGGCCGTGTCCCGGTAAGTTTCATAAGAGGGGGTTGTGACAGGCTGGAAAGATTTGGGCAGCTCTATCTGCATTGGCAAAAATTGACATGGTGCCCAGGATGTGGGGTAACAAAGGCGCGGAATGGTGTGGATATGGGGACAGTCCCTTAGGTGTGTTCAAGACAGAAGCTGGAGCCGGAGTGAAAGTGGAGTGTGAATAGACAGCATCAGGGCGAAAAGAAGATGGGTAGGTGTTAGTTACTTCGCTAGCAACCTGATAAAGAAATGGGTAGTGTGGGAATTGGTAACTGGCAAGGCATTCTGTCTGAGTTGGCATGACGTTGGATTGTTCAGGAGAACGTTCGTAGGTGGAATGTTTGAAGGTTACCAACTGTGGGTCGGTAGAAGGCAGCCATGAAGTTGAGACTGGCTGTAGACTGTTGTTTGCAGAAGGTGCAAAAGTTGTGCTAGATGGAACTGTATTGGTTGGTATGTATAAGGCGGGCCGTGTCCCGCATTGCCCCATAAAAAAGGGGTAGAATTCGTGGGGGCTAAGGTAAACTGCCTTGGATGAGGTGCGTATTTGGCCTGGTTTGTACGGTCGTCTTGCGTAGACGTCAGTGGCGCAGGTAGGTAACTCGCCTTATTAAGTAAACCCTTCGGCTGCGTCCGACTACGCTTCGTCCGCGACATATGAAGCTCATGTGATCGCAAGTGAGCGGTGTTGCGACTAGAAATGACTTGTTTAGCAAGTTGTTTCGCCGGCGCGAATGGTGTATGTAAAACGGTATGGAGATATGGTGAAGTGGCGCTGCTTACACTGGTACGGTTGCGGCCGCGATCGAGCCCTGTGATGTGTGGTTTTTCAAGTAGATAAGGCTTGTGAGGTGAGAAGATGCGTTGAGGCATTACCACACTCGTAACTGAAGGTGACTTTTGCGGCGATCTGGGCTCCTGTTCATGTGCACTGTGATTATTGGATTTGACGGTGTGATGGTACCTCATTGGCTTTGATAGCCGTGCTTTGTGGCTATCTCTGTTGTTAGGTTGGCGTGAGTTTTTCAAGGTTCTCTGAGTTGGGAGCCAAGTACAACTCTTGGATCCGTTGTTGTCATGGACCAGCAGAACGGAAGAATCGGGCTTTTCAAGTAGATAAGGTTTTCGGTGTGGGATGCCTTGGGGCGTTACTACATTCATAAATGGAGATGATGGCTGCGGGGATCTGCGCTTCAATGCTTCTGCGTTGTGAATATTGGAATCGGCGTTGTTTCTGTGCCACGCAGGGGTTGAAAGCCATGCTTTAGAGCGTTTCCTGTTGTTGGGTTGACGTGAGTTGTTCGAGGCTCTTGGGGTTTGAGGCCGATTGCGACTATTAAGCTGATTGTTGTCAATAGGCAAGTAAACAACAGAATCAGGCTTATAAGTCTGGCCTACAAGGCCAATAGTAGACTCAACACTCATGTCCGAATCGCTATGTGACATAGCACTTGCAGTATCAACGGCAATAGCAGAGAGTGAGGGTGAAAACGACCTGTTCAATGCAGGCTGAAAGAAGCTTCCTGTTATGGTGGGTTTCGCGGTGAGAGAGTGTTTCTGCTTAGGGTCGGTGACAGCAGGCAGTGGAGTATCCAAGTTAGATACCCAGTTAAGAATGCAATTAGATGGTTGACCAGGTGCGGCATGAGTGTCATGCATGTCTGAGTAGCCATAAGTCACATCGCTAGAAGAATCGATGGTTATAGCAGCCAGTGCAGACGAAGATCCTTCATTGACTTCAGTCCAAGGCAAGCTTCGCGCTGTTGCAGATTTCGCATCCGAAGTGAGATCTTGTTTTGGAGACAAGTCGAGGTCTATCGCTGGCACGATGGTCGGTTTGGCCGAAGATTTTGCAGATGAGTCAATAAGAGCATTGCGCTTGCCCTCTGGCTTGGTTGACGACATTAAGGATCTTTGAAGTGGGGTTTTGTCAGGTTTAATGATAATCGGCCCAAGGTTTGCCACCGTGGACACAATCAGCCTACGGCCTATAAATGTTTCAGCAAGTTGTGGAGTAGGGAAAGTCAAAACTATGGGGCAAGTGCGAGTTTTACCAGACTTGCGTAGCCGTTTGCACGCACAGCAATCTGGTGGTGTGTTGCATGCACTTAAAAGAGAACGCTTCACTTTTTCAAGTGGCAAGCGATCAGGTACGTTGAATATGACGGCATTCTGGGAACGACGTACACGTTCCGTTACTTCGTCGCTAAGTACTGCTAATAACTCGCCAGCGGCGTTCAGTTCATTTGGGTTATCAGTTTTCATTAATCCCGACAGCACCGACAGTGGTTTGAGGTTCTCCAAAGTTGCAGTCATCGTAAGCAGCTCATTTTTAAGCATGCTAAGCTCATTTTCTAATTGGTGAATTTTGACTTGAGCTGCGCTAAGTGGGTCATCAAGCATGACCCTGCAATCCTTCACCACGGATGAATATGCTGAGGGTGCTCTCGTTGCTGCTGTCTGCACTGCTCTCTTTGAGGAAAGAGAGGGATTACAACGTTTAGCACGCATTGGTCAGGAGTAAACAAAGAATGACAAAGCAATAGACAGCGTGAAAACCGTAAAAATGGGTAAGACACGGAAAACGACGGAGAGTTGCAAAAGCGATGAGGGAGGTAGTATAGAATATATTGTGCTACTGATTAGTAACACAAAAAGACCGACAAAGTGGTTATACGCAATTTTCGAAAATCTGAACAGCAACGCGAAAAATACGCACCGTTTCAAGTTCACGTATGGAAGTAAAATAGACACTAAGAACAGATAAACCTAGACTTAACGCACGGTCTGGGCAGAAGAATAAAACGAATTATCCTGGAACCGTGGTTCTATAAGGCATAATAAATACAGTACATGACTTACGAATAGGTTTTGCAATGGTAATGCAAGTGGGCAGAAACTGTATAGCGTGGGGCGGATCGAGTATTTGGGCAGTTTCACGGTAACATGATAATAAGAACGACCTTGAAACCTCAAGGATGTGTCAGTGATCGAGTGTAAGAAATAAATATAAGATAGGTTAACCGCTTGTAAAACACAGTAAAGCAGTGTAACTGTGCAGGATAATCAGGGAAAAGAGATACCGTGTCCTCATGTAAGCAATCCAGTTTGGGGGATACATCGAAGTTCCTTTTGGACTTTACACTCCCCTGGCGGTTTCCTATCCCGGACAATGCCTTCCATGGCATGATTCTCTTCTTCCTGGTACGCTTCTAGTAGGCACAGCTGCCTGACGTCTCTTCGCAATATGCCTTTGCGTGTCCTCACCAGTGCTTGTCGAACCAGTTGGGTTTTGCTCTTGATAACTTTCTCCACAACACCCTTAGGCCACAGACCTCTTGATGTGCGTACATCACAAACTAAAACTAACTCTCCCTGCCTAAGATCGCTGATTTCAGTTAACCACTTCTGTCTATTCTGCAGTGTCTGTGGATATACTCTAATCCACCTACGGCAAAACGTATCAAACACATGTCTTACCTGTCTCCTTCTTCTGCTCCAAACTTGCTGATCCTCTACGGGAGGAGGCTCATCCCATTCCAGCTTCCTTTTTACGAAACTCTGTAACTGTGGCTTTGCCGGAAGTAGCACGGGAGCAATGAAGCCGAGAAGATCGTAAACGGGAGCTGCAAAAGGGAGGATGGCTCTTCGGGTCAAAGTTTTCTTAAAACATTCCAGCATAAAAGTTAGATGGTCCTGGGTGACGTTCCAGTTTAAACCAGGCGCAGTTATAACACAATCGTCCGCAGTCGAATATCTTATTCCGTGAACCTTCAGTTCGTTGTCAGGTAGAAGCGCGATAGCCTTCTTTCGATTGCTGACCCATTTCGTCAAATGAAGTTCTCCGTCGGATGGAATACGAGTAAGGTGTATAACGAGTTCAGTTGCTTCGGGAACAGAAACAACACTAAATAAACAATCGTCGACATAAAAACAGTTCTCTGCTACTTGTTTAGCCTTTGTTTGATATTCACAATAACTGTCAACGATAGCTTGTCGTAATGTAAAGTTAGCGCAGCTTGGTGACGAAGTAGCGCCAAACGGATGTACAGTCATGTGGTATTCAATAGGGGGTGAACAAAGATTGCCATTCTTCCACCACAGGAACCTCAAACAATTCCGATCCTTAATAGAAGCCTTAACCTGGTGAAACATTGCTTCAATGTCGGACGCGACGGCGATCGGGTGAAACCAGAACCGTAAATTCATCCCCACTAGACTGTTTGATATATCGGGACCAGGTAGAAGTTGCTGATTGAGAGAAGTTCCATGGTATGAAGCTTGACAATCGAAGACCACTCGCACTTTACCGGGCTTACGGGGATGCGATACCGAGTGATGGCGTATGTACCAGGTTTTCCCTTTTTCTGCTGTTCCTGTACTGGAGCGAGTTCAGCATATCCTCTAAATATATTTTCTTTCACTACCTTGGTGTGTACTTGGCGCAGTGCGGCATTCTTCAAAAAACGTTTCCTTAACATGGCAACCCTCATCAGTGCGAATTGCCGGTTATCTGGTAACCGAGGTCTCCCAGCTTGCCATGGTAGCGCAATTTCGTAGTGGGTACCAACTTTTCTTTTAGTGGCTTCCATTGGTTTTAACGCGCTTCCGTAGTTCACAGACATGGTTAGTCGTGGACTATCTAATCCTTCAAATTCCCTTTCATATATTTGCTCTAGTGGTTGATGAAGGTCAGTGGTATCGCAGCGAAGTGAGTTGATCCTCCGTGTTCTATCAACTATCAGTGATGTGGATTGATCCTTCATAATCTCGTGCTGTTTGTTCGGTCCCAGTACGATCCAGTCCAATGGAGTTTTAACAGCATACGGATCATCAGGATCCCCGCGTCTCTGATCTATTGCCCAGTGTAGGTACGGGTTATCGCAACCAAACAAAACTTCAATCCTTCCTTCCAGCTCCGATAACCGTAGGTCGGAGAGGTGAGACCATCTGACGAAATCGTTGTTCCTGTTTCTCGTTCCAAGTTTTTCAGGGAGATGACTGACTGACTTAATTGAATTTAATTGGACCGCCTCATCCCCATCTATAGATCGAACAGTTACACTAACCAACTGGGACTCCACTTGACATTGGCCAGCATCGGTGCTAATGTTAAGTGGAGTCACGGACCCTTGAACCCCGATAACTTGAAGTAATGTTGAATCAATCAGTGAAGTATCTGATCCATTATCTATTAAGGCTAATGTTCGAATGGTGCCAGCAGGCCCAGAAACAAGCACAGGTAACAAGCCAAGCGGAACTATTGAGCGTTCGATGTGGCTGAGAGCAAAACTAGATCCTTCAGTGGTTGGTGTTCCGAAGTTGCTTCGATCAACGTGGAGTAGCGGGTGGTGCAGCAGCTTACAATTGTTCGACCCACAACACCTTCGTGATCGACAATTTACTAGGTCATGATTCGGTTTGAGACAGAGCTGACACAGTCTATGAGCGTGACAGAATTCAAGACGTTTGTTGAGGCTGAGATTTCGGAAATCATCGCACTGATCTGGGTAATGGCGTTGTTCACAGGAAAGACATTTAGAGAAATTTCGTTCTGATGAATCGGCAACGTTTAGGCAGGCGGCATATCCCGGAGAGTTTAAGATTCTGCCTCTATCGGTGATGGCCGGTAGTCCGCAGGGACGTGCGGCAAAGGACCAATAAGTATCGACGACGTCTGCGGTTTCATCCACGATATCCGTCAAATCAATGAAGTTAGGATCTCTTTCAGTGAGGATAACTCTGGCGGCATGCTCGGCTCACATGAATTGCAGATGGTGAGGCAGCTTCCTGACTATAGAGCAGATTGTTCTGGACGCGTTCAAATCAGATTCACACCTCAATTGTTTCAACCTCAAGTAGCATGAACGCAGTTCAACAGCTAAACCAGACAGAGCCGTGAAATCATTGGGCCTGATGTTGGGGCCATCAGTTAGAGCATTAATGTGAGTCCTAGCCATCATGTGGGGCCGTCCGGAGCGTCTGCGCAAAATGTTCATTGCTTCTTCAAAACCTCCGCCAGGGTCGAGTATTAAGCAACTTTCGATAGCTTCTTTGGCTTCGCCACAACAGTACTGTATCAGATATGAAAGCTTGATAGTTGGATCGGAAGTAGTTCTGGAAACATTGGCTTCGAAGCATCGCATAAACATCCAATAGCGGGCAGGATCCCCATCGAATGTTATCAGTTCACGTTTTGGAAGACAGGCTGA